TTTACTCCTCATCCCCATCATCATCATCATCATCATCATCATCAGTCATCATCATCATCATCATCATCATCATCATCATCATCATCATCATCATCATCATCTCCATCTCCATCTCCATCACTAGTATCATTAGAATCTTACGCTGCCGCAAGGTGTAGCGGGGTCCAGAAATGAGTAGTGCAGGCATCAATCTCCGCCTGATTCTGCAAAGAACTCGGACAGTCTGTTTGCAAAATGAAATAAAAACGATTAGAACGAGATTGAAAAGACAAGATATAGAGGCAGCGTCGTTGTCGTCGTCATCCCCATCATCATCATCATTATCATCATCATCCCCATCATCATCATCAGCATCTCCATCATCATCTCCATCTCCATCTCCATCTCCATCTCCATCTCCATCTCCATCTCCATCTCCATCTCCATCATCAAGAATAACCTCTGCATGTCCGAGCATGCAGGCTTCATGCAGCGCAGTCCAGCCATTCTCATCTTCCGCGTTCACTTTTGCCCCCAGCTGCCCTCCAACAGTCAGAAGCTCTAGAGACTGCCCGCAAACTTCTTGTACGCTGATGAGCAGCTGAACGACTTCTGCATGCCCAGCGTATGCTGCCCACTTGAGAGCCGTCCGAGCCGCGTTCTGCTGCAGGTGAGGGAGAGCAAGCGCAGAGATCTGCCATGAGGAGGAGGAGGAGCGAGAGAAGAGAGGAAGGAAGAAAACGGGGGGCAAGAGAAGAAACAAAGGGGAGGAGCTCAGGAGAAGAGGAAGGGATTCAATCTCGAAGGGAGGGGAGTAGAAAGAGGAGAAGGAGAAGGAGGAGAAGCAAACCTTGCGTAAAGGACCCTCGTCCTCTTGGCTCAGTTCGCTCTTGTGCTCCTGCTGCTCCAGGAAGGAGACACGGTCAGCTACATCTGGCAGAGCGAGCAGCAGCATCCTTCTCCACCTTCTTGTCATGGTAGAAGGACAAGCCGTAGCTGCAAACAAAATTGAGAAGAGCAAAACCTTCACATCCCCTTACATCTCCTTGAAGTGGATCGCAGGATCGTGCTCCCCGTCCACACTCTCCGCCTCCAGCTCTGCCCCAGCTGACACCTGCAAAGGTCAAGGAAGTCACTCCCTCCTTCTCGTTCCTCCTCCCTCAATGCGCCCCTCGCAGCCATCTCTACCTCCTCCTCTCCGATACTCATCCCCCCTCCGTTCCACCGGCACCACCAACACACACTTCTGATCCTCCACTTCCTGATGCCCAGCCTCCATCCCTCACGTCCTCCCCCTCCTAATCCTCTTCCTCCTCTCAGTCACCAGTGCTCGGCAAAGCTCCTTATCGCCTTCCTTGGCCTGCAGGTTTGAGGTCAGATGCAGTCAAGAGGAATCGCCTCGTTCTACCGCATCCCACAGGACAGAAGTGTAGAACGCCTGTATGAAGCTATGACTTGCAGCAGGAGGGGCAAAGGCCGAAGACAGGAAGAAGACGAGGAGGGGCAGGGGTAGAAGCAGGAGCAGCAGGAGAAGGGGCAGGAGCAGGAGCAGCAGGAGAAGGGGCAGGGGCAGGGGCAGGGGCAGGAGGGGCAGGGGCAGGGGCAGGGGCAGGGGCAGGAGCAGGAGCAGGGGCAGGAGCAGGGGCAGGAGCAGGAGCAGGAGCAGGGGCAGGAGCAGGAGCAGGTCCCACAATTCTCCGTTGATGGAAGGAGCAGCTGAGGAGGGAGAAGAGCCAGCCCAGGACGCCTTCCAACCACGTCAACCGTCTCCTTCCTCGCCCAGCACATGGTGCCCACCGGTTAATCCTGCGTTGAGAAACCTCTTCCTTACCCGCAGCATGTCCGAGAGCTTCTCCTCCGAGATCGGAACGACGGCAGGCTGAACGACGGCAGGCTGCAGCCTGACTTGAAGCGTTAGGGGACATCCATGGCCGCAGCTGTTGGTCACCTTGACACAGAGTCGTCGCCTCCCCTGAGGGAGAGTACGTGATGATTGCGACCATGAGGAGGGTGAGAAGGGAAGAGAGAAGGCTGCAGATTTGGGTCAGGGGGCTGGGGATCGCCGACTACGGCTGACCACAGCGTAGCAGGAGGAGAAGAAAAGGACGGCTAAGGGAAAGACCCGTCGAGTCTGTTGGTCATTGCAACGTGTCAGGGAAGTTTCACGCGCCCAGCTGTCCTCTTCACCATATCGGAGGAGGCAGAGGTTCAGTCAATGGTTCTTCATGACATGGCCATCCCCTGTTGCGTGCTGAGGGGCAGGAAGACATCAGTGATGGAAAGCAGGAGGGTATGGAGGGAAAGCGGGGGGCATCAAACAGCAACAGTGAGGAGACAGAAGAAGTTGGAGCACTTGCGATGGTGTCTGGTGGACAGAAAGCGGATCTATGCAGAACCCCATCAGAGAGCAGCAGGATGGGGTGAGGGGGGCAGGAGCAGAGGAGGAGGAGGAGGGAGGAGGGAGGAGGGGGCACGGAGGAGGGGGGCGGGCACTAGTGGGGAGCTGGGGACGGGGGAGCGACAGGGGCCGATAACGGGCATGCGGAGTAGGGTTTGGAGAAGCGTCCATCCTGAGGAAGGGGGTGGGGGATAGGGAAGTGCAAAGGGAGGTACATGGGCCTTTTTAATTAGAGTCAAACTTATAAAATACTCAAGGTTAAGGTACTATGTATCGGAAACCTGGCACTGTGGAGGCCGGAGGATCTCGCGAGAAAGAGTGCGCCTTAAAATCGCAGGACGGGGGAGGAGGAGGGGAGGTCAGGGGAAGGAGATGTTAGGATGGAAGCGACGGGACAGGACGGTATGGCTGAAGGGAAGGAGGGGATGTAGCGACTAGAAGTGAAAGGGTTGACATACACTGTGTAAACATAGAATGAAACTACCGAAGTTTTTCTCGATCGAAAAGGCCACAAGAGGTATCTTCGCCTCCCCAGAGTCTTTTTGTGGGACGATGCTAACACTGAACGAGTGTGAGTCAGACGTAGAGAGAAACAATATTTATTAGTAACGCCGAGGGCAAGAGCAAGGAGAGAAAGTAGGATATCATCTACAACAGAGTTCGATTCGAGTAGCGTCACAACGCGTGCCCTTGACGCATGTCAGTCGCTCTGCGAGCCATCAAGCTTCATGTCCGAATCATCGATATCTCGCCCCTGCGTCTCTCATCAGCACCCACAAACAGCCACATCATCCTCGCTCACCGCTAGCAGAGCCGCTCGCTTCGCCTCCAGTGCCTCCAGCTCCATGGCAACCTCAGGCAGCACGCATGGCTGTCCTCTGAGCTTTGCAAGACGGCGCTGGATCGGTTTCAAGCGCTGGAACGGCCACTGTCTGATCCCCATTTTACGGCAGACCTGCATCAGGGATCAGGACGAGTCTCACTCGCCGACTAGCTCTCACCTTCTTGATCGCCGTAGCACAGATACCCAGCTTGCGAGCGGCCTCGTTAAGAGGCATGTTGAAGTGCTGCCGGAGAAGATCTGTGCTGAGCTTGACGGGAACGATGCTCGCATCTTGATCATTCTGCGGACGACCTCCCAGAGTCTGCTTGCTGCCCTGCCCCCAGCTCCTTCGACGGGGCCTGGGCTTCACCTCCAGGCAGTCTTCGAACTTGAGTCCCGCACTGTCCACCAATTCCTTTCCTCCGCTCTTGTCCTTCCCGTTCCCCTTCTGCTCCACGTACTTGACAACAGAGCTGTGGAACGTCACACGGGGCACTGATTGCCCAGGAGGGTCGTTGGGCTTCCTCTTCACTCCCCCGTACCCGTGCAGCCCAGCAACAACTGCAGCGGCCGTTGGCTGCCGCATCGGGTCTGTGAACGGGTCAGCAAGGATCGGGACGGCAAGGACGGGAGAGCTCTTACATGCATTCATCGGCAGGTGATAGTTCCGCTTCTCATCTGCCTTGAAAGGCTCCTGCATCGGCCCAGATCTCACTTGGTAGTGATGCTGCAGTGGACCGTTGCCCTCCCGCCACTCGGAGACTGCGGAAGAGATAGCAAGTCAGCACGAGCACGAGCTAAGGAGAGCAATGCACCAGATATCACGAGGTCTGGAAACATCCTGCTCCTGCGCTCCTGCACTCCAGGTTCCCGATGGTGAGCATTAGGAGCATCTTGGCCCTTGCCCTTGGCAGGCTGCTGGGCGTCCTGCTGTGGCTTCGAGGCTGCGGACGCTGCGGACTGCACTCCGTCCTTTCCAGAGGTAGATGCTACTAGTGATGTGAGATGGCGTGTTAGAGATACGAGTTGTCCTCGCACCTTTGCATGTCGAGGCGGAGGATGGAGCTGAAGGCTCGTCCTTGTCTCCCCCGCTCTGGTCGAGGAACGAGCTCTCCACGGATTCGATCCACTTCAACGCCTCGTCACTCAGGGTCTCCTGAGCTCCAGGTCAGAGGACAGCAAGAGAGTCACGCAACCACACAGGAGGATCAGCACTGATCACAAGCACGCTCACGGACATAGCAATCTCTGTCTCCCTACCTTGGTGTCAACTTTGGCCTCCACAGTCTCGGGGTCTGTCTCCTCGGACATGTAGTCTCGCCCGGCAGAGTCATCACTAGCATCTCCATGGTTGTCCCAGTATTCCTCTATTGACAAGACCCACTTCTCGCTGTCCAGAGGAAGCACAGTATCCAAATAAGAATCATCCAACTCTTTCACCCCGTCAAACCAAACTTTCCCTTTGGAAGAGTTTGTCTGTTTTTCACATATCTCAATCATGTTGCTGGTATGTTTTCAGGTAGAAACTCAACTCGATTTCAGCCTCAGCGAGTCGATTCAATCACTCCCTTATGCTGCCTCGACCAGACGTTGCTGTCTACTCGGTCAATTTTTTCTCCAGACTGAGGCGTAGAGCCAAGGAGCAAGATCGCGGTGGGAGTGTGCAGAGAGACGACTGAAGGGAGGAGGAGGGAGGAGGAGACCGAAGAGAAGACTGAGGAGAAGACAGGAGAACAAACAAGAGGGTCAGGGCAGATGAGCTTGGAAGGCTGGAGATGAATCTGGGGAGGACGTTCTCCCCGATGATGCGGGGAAGTAGTTGTAGGGGTGGGTTGTGCTATAGTTTGACTTGGGGTAGAGAGGTCACTTTGGTGGGGTGTAGACCTTTCCTTGGCTCGCCACGGGGTGGGGTGGGGGTGGTGTAATACAAGCGGTGACTCCGGAGGTGTGGGGTGAAGAATTTTAAACGCTCCAGGGGCTAGGGGTAGGGTAAAATTGAATTAAAATTCTTGTAGGGTAGGGTGGTACAGGTAGCGGTGGTGGGTGGTGACATACCAAGACAATGCGCCAAGTCGATGATTCCCAACCGTTTCATGGAACCTGTCTTCTCAAACAAGATGGAAATTTTGATAATAGCTCACATAGCAAAAGCAGCTCCATGTATGGGTAGTGTGCGGGAAGGACAGCAAATGCCCCAATAGACAATGGCGAAAAAGAATTGGTACTCGCTCAAGGTGGTGGGTGGGGGTAGAATTGGACAATTCAGGGTAGGGTAGCATAAATAACTTGTCCTGGGGTAGAATGGTCTCGAAAGCTACAGGGGTAGGTAGTAAGACGGTGAGGCGGGTTGGTTTCTTTAAGCATGGAAAAATGGGGTGGGGTGAATGTTGAGGACGGGTGGTGGAAATTGTATCTGGAGCTGTTCGGAGACCAGGGGGGTGGTTGTTCTAGAGGTGGTAGGCAATCCCGTTGAGAGTTGATCCCGATAGGGGTGGGGAGGTGAGCAAAAGGGGGTGGGGAGGGGGAAAGGGCCTCTAGGAGCCGACCCTTGGAGGAGACTTAACCCTCTAATAAGAAATTGAAAGAGAGATGCACGTGGAGAAGCGAGAGGTGACAAGGGGACTAGAAAATCCTGCCGCTGGGGTGGGGTGGGTCAGGTCACAGACGTGTTCCAAGGTTGATTCTCATATTCTTCTAAGGGGGGGTGGGGCGGTTGGGGGTGGGTGGTAGGGTACAAGGATAGTGTCGGTGTGCCAAAACATTCTAGTTCAGTTGAAGTCAGGTTACAAGGGGGGTGGGGGAGTAGATGGATCCTTCTATGGGGGAGGGGTCTGTAGCCGGTAGGGTAGTCACAACCCCTGTCTGTGTATTGTCGTACCCTACCCCACTGACTTGTCCATGGCCCAGACATAGTTTGACCACCTACCCTGGGAGAACCACAAACTCGAAGCCTTGATTTTTCACGAAGCCCCCACCCCCATTCTGTTTCCCCCACCTGTGCAGGACCCGTTCATACATGATATTTGTACCCATCGATAGTGTGAGACTTGACCCACATGATCACCCCCACCCCCTGGTATCCCAGTGTCCCTAAAGAGAACATTTGACCACTTCTCACCCCACCCCCTTGTTTTGACATTGATTTGTCCGTCACATTGCCTGGACCCCTGGAGCGATACCACCGGGAGGAGCGACCGCCCACCCCCTTGTTGAAATACCCCCACCCCTAACAAATTGATTTACAGGCAGGGGGAGCTGGCATGCAACCACACATAAGCACTGGGTAGTATCACCCTACCTGTAAGTATACAAAGGATTCTTTATTCAACGACGGGTAATGAACAAGTACAGCACGTGAAAATGGGGGAAGGGGGTGGTTGGGGGAATAAAGTTGAGGAGGGGTGGGTGGGGGAATATGAAGGGTACCGGGGGAATACAAAGAATGGGTGGGTCATCTTGAATTGGGGAAGGGGGTGGATCGTTGTTGAATTTGTTGATGGGTGGGTTGAAGGTTTGGAAGGGGTAGGGGTAGAAACCGTATAGCGAAGATTCTCGGAAAGTGGCTTGGGGGTAGTCCAGGTTCATGACCAAACAAGCGAGATGAGGTGGCAAAATAGAGGTAGGAGGTGGTGTAAGCAAAAGGTCTCATCTACGTGGTACAGCATCGCAAGTTCTATCGTGTAAATGCCTCAGCAGTGGGGGTACTAAATGCCAGGGTAGGGTGAACGGACCGTGAAGGGTAGGGGTCAGGCATCCCCGAAGGGTAGGTCCTTACGACTGTGGGCGTAGGAGCAGAAGATGGAGATACCCTCACTCAAGCACGTAGTACCCGTCCATTCCTTTGTCTGAAATGGGTAAATCTGAGGGTGGGTATATCAGCCGAGTCCCCTAGCTAGTCATTGCTATTGACCTCACTCAAGTACCAACGACGAGGGGTGAAAAAGAGCTCATGAAGGGGGTAGGGGTCTACGTCTTTAGGCTACCTCTGGTCGTAGATGAGAGGTGGTCCGGGTTGTTGGCTCGACAGGGGTAGGTAGAATCAATCGAGGGGGTAGGCTGTGGGGGTAGAGGTGAAAGCACTGCGACAGTCGGCAAATTGAATAGAAAGGAAATTAATTTTGGTCGAGGGTGAGGGAGAGAAGAATTGGGGTGTGATTGACAGCATGAAGGGAGGAGGTAGGGGGTCCATGCTATGCAGGGTCTGCAGGGGTACTGATCTTCATGGGGGTGAGGCATCGAAGTCAAGATGAGAAAGTGCACAGGGTGAAGCTATGGAGATTTTTATTTGGGAGTTTAATATCAAACCACAGAAAGGTACCTACGAAGATGGAGAGCGAACGGACGTAACGCATGATGAGGGGGTGGGTAGGGGGAACTAATTTTTTTGAAGGTGTCAAATGAAGTTTGAACTTTGACGTTGTGAAAGTTTGAAACGAAGAAGTCTCGCGCATGTCTCAGAGGAAAATTTGATCGTATTTGAAAAGACTCTTCTTCGTGGATTCACAGGGCATCACCGATCCCTACTGGATGTCCAAGGGACGCTGTATCGTGACTCTTCATCCATTATATTGTCGTGGGTACGTGGGGTGGGTAATAGTGATATCTCGGAGCGGGGTGGTCTGGGGGGTCTGCGGACATAATATTATTCGGGGTCGTGATCATTCCCCTCTCACGATCTGCTGACAATTTCAGTCAACTTTGGCCGCGGCCGGCACGGCCGGGCCGAGATGGCGCCGGGCGGGCGCCGGGCGGCCCGATGACAAGACTTCGGGGCCGAGCTTCATATCAACGGAAACAACGGTCAGCCCGAGAATAGAACAGGCGCCACCATGGTGAGTGCGGGGAAAGCACAGGGAGGGGTGTGAAGGAGAGGAAAGTTAGAGATGGTCGGAAACGCGACGGGTGGATCGAACAGACATAGAACGTGTGCCGCAGAGTTGTCGTGTGATGCAGATCGAGGAATGGTGAAAGCCCTTGCTGGTTGATGCGGGTCATCGTGCATGGTGGGGAGTCTTGAATGCGAGAGGGCTGCCTTGTGGTTTTGAAGCATTTTTCTTTGTAAAAATGCACATCATGCCCATGTTTCAATGTGTTGTTGTCGTTGTCTCGGACATGTCCGTGTTATGTTACATGCGAGAATTATTTCGAAGTGTGTGACCTGGCACCTTCTCTTCTTCCGCCAAGCTCCATGTTTGCATCATGCCGAATCTGAAGTTTGTCGACAGTGGGAAGATTTGAAGTCAGTCATGGAGAAGAAGACTGCGAAAGCAGTAGCCAAGGCTCCAGTCGCTCATCTCATCCCCGGTGCAAAGCCCGTTACACAGGCAGAGTTCAAGGTACAAGAGGAAGGGATCCTGGGAAGGAGGAGGAGGAGGGGAGGAGGAGGAGGGGAAGATTTGTTTCTTCAACGCCTCGGTTGTTGCTGACAGTTTGATGAAAAAGATGTTTCAAGAAGCCCTGAAGGAGAGTCCCAAGGGCAGCTGGTAGCGTTGAGATAATAACTGAGAGCATTGGCTGAATTTGTGTGCCAGGGCACCCAGACACCATGCTCGCGTGAACGGAGGCGCTTCTGGTCTGCAACTGTTTGCCTTACTGATTGCTACTCTGACACATGGTGCAGTCTTCGCAAAGATGGAATAATCTAACCTGAGAATAAAACAGAGTTCCTTCAGCCTTTGTCGTACACGTCCCGGCGCTGTGACACGCGGGGTTGTGGGAGATAAGTTGCAGGGCAGGTGATGAGTTGTAGTCGAGGAAGGTCTTTCTTCAGGCATGAGAGTGTTGTATCCTCTGATATCTGTCCCCTACCTTCCTCCCCTCCGCTTTCCTGTACTTCTCTCCTCTCTTTACCTTTTCTATCCTGTCCGGTCCCGTCCGGTCCTCCCTCTCAATACATTCCTTCCCTTTCCTCCCCTACTCTCTCTGTCCCGCTTCTCTGAACTTGACTAATTTCACTCCTTGAAACCTCTACTCGCTCCTGTTCACTACTCTCGTCCGCACTTCCCTTTGCTTATTCTTGTGTTTATTCTCTGAAAATCACCATCTTGTTGCTAATGTGATAGTATGGTCAAACTTGCAGCCTTTGACTGTCAAGCTGTTAAAGGTGAATACCTGTTGTAGGACAAGTTTCCATGTACAAGTGTCCAAGTGCTATCTCCTCACCTCCCCTCCCCTCCTCTCCTCTCTCACATCACGAATAGAGAATGATATGAGAACGGACGTCTCTTCCTCCCGTTCTCCCCGCCGGCTCCTCCTTCTGTGCAAGGAAAGTTTCCCACACGAGTTTCAACCCGAGCTCGAAGTTGACCACCCACCTGCCTCAATGTCACTAAAATCTCCCGCTCCTCCCCTCCCTCCTCCCTCCTCCCTCCTCCCTCCTCCCTCCTCCTTCCCAGCCGCTCGCTACCTCCCCTCCCTCCTCCCTCCATCCCCCTCCATCCCCGCCGCTTACTACCTCTGCGTGTCGAAGAGAGGAGTCTCTAGTCTCTGCGAACGAACTTTGGACTTGAGCTCCTCCAACTTCTCCCTCCTCCTCCCTAGCACGATTGCCTGCTGCACGTACTCCTCCAGCGTCGGTACCGACATGTGCGGGACGTCATGGAAGAGCGAAGAGCTGCTGGCTGCGCAAGAGCTCAGCGGGAGCAAGGGAGCAAGGGGGGAAGAGCACCGGCGACGCGAGAAGCATGACGGATGCCAGGAGTTGTGAGGACAGGCACGCCCTGGAGGAGGAGGACAGTGAGAGAAGAGAGAAGAAAGTCATCGGAGAGGAGCTTGAGACATGAGGAGCAGGAGCAAGAGGTAGTGAAGAGAAGGAGGAAGAAGGGAGGAGAAGGGAAGAGAAGAGAGAAGGGAGGAAGAAGGGAGGAAGAAGGGAGGAAGAAGAGGATGGGGAAAGAAGAAGGGGAAGGGGGAGGAAGGGAGAGAAAGGAGGAGGGAGAGGGGAACAGTCACCGCCCAGAGCGAGTCAGTCGTGGTCGTGTGCCCGTTGAAGAGGAGCGTGTCGAGATGCAGATCTGCTGCCCCCATCCTCAACAAGTTGTTACGCGCGTCCGTCAGCGGGGAGGTGATGAGACGTTCATTGGCAAGGCCTGTGCGCCCATGAGACGAGGAGAGGTAAAGTAAGGAGATCAGGGGGGGAGAGGGCGACAAGACGGGAGCAGGCAGGAGGCAGGAGGTAGGAGAGGAGAGGGAGAAGGGAAGATGCAGCTGCCAGCAGGCAGGAGGGAAGAACGACCTCTCTTGGCCCACTGTGCTCGTAGTCGTCGTTCTCCCTCAGGAGGATACTGCGATCTTGTGATGAAGAAGTTTTGCAGCTCGAGCGGCCTACCTGCAGCAACCACAAGACGCTGCCATCCACGTTGGCGATGATGTCCTGCCATGCTCGGAAGAGCGCCGGCTCAATCTGAGGGTGGGCCAAAGAGGAGGATGGGAAAGGGTAGTGGAGGTCAGGAGGAGAGGATCATGGCACCACAAGAGGCAACAGGATATAAGGAGGAGAGGAGGAGAGGATATAAGGAGGAGAGGAGGCGAGGATATAAGGAGGAGAGGAGGAGAGGATATAAAGAGGAGAGGAGGAGAGGAGAGGAGAGGAAAACTCCATGTCAGGCACACGCAGCACAATAATCGAGCGACCTTCTGGTAGCTGTTGAAGTTCACGTACACCACCGAGCTGTTCAGGAGCGGGTGGGAGGCCTGGACTTGAGACCTTGGGAGGGGCCCGCTGTCAATTATGGCGTGGTGAGCTTGTTTGTGGTCATTTAGCTGATAGCTGTGCGGCATGTAGAGCATCTTTTCTTTGTACAGACACTGATCGCCATGTCCCTGCGTGCACGCGATCTCTGGTGGGGTTCCCTTCCTGTCTGAGATGTACGAGTCGATGGCATCCCCCTCCCATCGTGCCGAAGTAGCTGACCCCCGGCAAGATCTGCAGGAAGAGACGATGAGACCTCGTAGAAGCGACCG